CGTGCTGTGCATCGCACAGAAGATGATTTTGCTCTAAAAACCGCATCAGTTCGCGTTTGATTATTCGCTCCATAACTTTGCAGCATATGGAGGTGAGGCTTACTGGTCGGTAGTTGTTTGCGGAAGCGCGACTGCCATTTTTTATCAGCATAGTTGACCAAAAAACAGTCATTAGGGGACCTTAGATCGTCACTGTGGAGGGAGAAAAGGTGAGGGGATAGAATGGAACCTTGAAGAACACCACAGTCATTGGCGAGGATCGTAGATTTCCGCTTGCCAGATTGGACAAATTGAGTGCGGGAGGTAAAATAATCAGTTAGCCAAGAGACGACCCAGCCTGGAGAGCCGCACGCGGAGGCTTTGGTAAGGAGAAGAAGGACTATTGCGGGTGCTACATGATGGCAGCCTCGTGACAAGTGTCTATAGAAAAGACCCCATCGTCAGGATAATGCCCGTCCTGCGGCCCACAAAAAGGCCGCGTCTCGTCTCTTCTCCACCTGGCCTTTCGTAACTGCAGCGGCGAAGATGTGCTTAAGAGGGAGTGGTTTCCATATACTGGTTGGTGCGGTTCAACGGACACCTGATCAGCCCTGTTAGCATCCGGTTCAGAGGTCAGAAGTCGGCAGCTGTGCCAGGGGAATTCTACCCCTGCCTTGCATGCAAGGGATTTCTGAAACGATCGCCTGTCAAATAAGTCGGCTCGGCGTCTGCGGCGACCACAAATCGGGGTTCTTCCTGCGCACAGCAACATCTGCAGTAAAGGTTCGCATACTATTGGTCAGAAAACCTCATATCATGGGCATATGTGGCCCCGTTTTCGCCCGGTGCACGTGCAGCGCGGCAACCGAACAAAATCTCACGGTCCCGACAATTAAGGTCATCGAACTGGAACAAACGTCCTGTCCAAATTATTTCTTCAAAATGAGTACTCCACAGAATCGGTACGTCGAGCCTTGAAGTTACACTATCCAACAGTAAAGGGAATATGAATCAGGTGGGCTAACTCATGAAATGTCGACCGAAATTTCGAAATGCGTCCTCGTTTCGAAAAGATTAATTAAGTAGGGTTGTAAAACTAATCATCATGCAGCATAATTCTAGAATGATCCAGTTACCACAAGGTGTCGGCTTTCGAATGAACTTATTTCCAACTGCTTGCACGAACTATACTCCGAAAAAAATGACTACTTAAGTGGCATGCAAATTAATCTTTGATTTTCGATGCCCTTGAAAATGCAATTATATTTCATGGAAAACGTGTATAAAATAATCATTGTTTTACTTATTCGGTAGAAATCACGTCTTCTTCCGATTTTATACTCGAAAGAAGGGTATAATTCGGTTTTAAAAAACTTGCCCAATTTCCGAAAAATTTTGAACGTGACTTGCTGTTACACTTGCATTCAGGGTTTCAAAACTACAAGCCGTATATTTTCCGCGTACGAAAACCATGCATTTCTCTACGGTATTAATCGGAGACTAAATGAGGTTCATAAATTAATCAGTGGATTCGAGCAATATTGTTCACTTCACAAGCCACATTCGTAAATGCAGATGTAATACTTCAGATAAGATGGGGACAAACAGTTCACAACACACACACACTGACGTAGAACGTGGGGAGGGATGATGAGAGTTTATTTACTATTGATAATGAAACGCACGAAGCGCAGATGGGCGAAATTGAGATACTGCCAGACTCTTGTCGGAGTTATAGTCAATTGGGCAGATCTTAAGCATAAAAACAAGAAAAAAAGGTTACCAGGAAGGTATGACAATGTACACTTGAAGTGTGGCGTGTGTGACACAGATACATGACGTTTTATGAACTGCCATTTCAGGGTATTAAAAAAATCTCACAATTAGAAACTTTTTTAAAACCAAATTATACCCTTCTTTCGAGCGTAAACTTAGAAGAAGACGTGATTTTCTACCGAATAAGTAAAAGAATGAATACTTTTGTGTGTGTTTTCCATGAAATATAATTGAATTTTCAAGGGCATTGGAAATCACTGAAAAAAGTGCATGCTACATAAGTAGTCATTTTCTGCAGAGTATGGTTCTTGCATGCAGTTGGAAATAAGTTCATTCGAAAGCCGACGCCCTGAGATAACTGGATCATTATAGAATTATGCTGCAATATGATTAGTTTAACAACTCTACTTAATTAATCTTTTCGAAACGAGAACGCATTTCGAAATTGCTGTTGACGTTTCATAAGTTAGCCCACCTACTGGAATATCAGAAGTTAACATTCCAGGACATGACCTTTGGGTTCAGACCCGAAATGTCAAAAAAAGATTGGAGTCAAAGACATCCAGCTACTGGAAAGTTACCACGTAATGACCGCTCTACAAACAAGTACTACTGCTACTATTAGAAATATGATAGATGGTTATTCCGTACTCCAGACACAGATAGTAGTTCACATA